TATATCTATATATATCTATATCTATATATATATATATCTATATATATATATATCTATATATATATATATATATATATATCTATATATATATATATATATCTATATATATATATATATATCTATATATATAAAGAACAAAGAACAATAGTTTTCATTAAATTATCAGTATGTTGGTAAAGAACTATAGTTTTCATAAAATTATAGTGTATTGGTAAAGAACTATAGTTTTCATAAAACTATAGTCCTTTAGTTATGAAACTAAAATATATGCTAGTGGTAAAAACTATAGTTGTCTAAACTCGACTATAGTTTTCAAAAAACTATAGTTCCCTTGGGTTATAAAACTATAGTTTATTGGAAAAAAACTATAGTTATTTTGAAGTTAACTATAGTTTTTTTTTAAACTATAGTATTCTACCAAAAACTATAGTTTTTCTCCAAAAAACTATAGTTTATTTTTGTAAGGGATCCTTCAACTATTATTCAATTCTGTATAACCTGTCTTCCTAAGCTGTTCTTGTAAATCAACATTTTCCTGTACACAGTAGCATGAATTTCTTTTTTTCATGACTTTGACTCCTTTGTCTGTTGATTTTTTTTGAAAAAAATAGACTAGATATTATTTGTGCACTATGTGTGCTGTAGCTTTATTAAATGCAAGTCAATGACAAAAAAATCAAGCATGCATTAATTAAAGTTGGACTAACCCCAAATAGAATTTTTGGTTTGTGTGATATTTGGGTCATAATTCTAAGAAGAAATGTAATGTATCTTTATAGTAAAAATCAGTGAGCTCCATATATATCTGGAGTAGAAACTTGGTTGCTCAAAGTGAAGCCAGTTTCGTCTTAACCGCGTATACAAAAACAATAGAAAGGGACTGAAACTGACGTCCAATAGCTCCTTGAATTTCCGCCATCTTGGCAAGGAGTGTGTTGAAATTTCGTATTTTGACTTCAATTTAAAGAATAATATTGTGATTTTATGAACTGAAAATTTAATTAGTGATACGGTCCGTTAGAAAACACTGGAATTAGCTGGGGAAAATGGTATAAAAACTGTTTACGACCTTCAGAGTTATTGGATGTCAATGGCCACCATCTTGGCTTCACTTTTCTCATTGACCGAATGACTGAAGTTCTTACTCCAGATATATATATATATAGAGCTCACTGGTAAAAATTCACCTAATGACATCATATTCGGAAACTTTGACAGTGAAAAGGTCGATGAAGAAGGGATTTTTTATTATTGAGATAACATTTCTTCGAACGAATGACACAGATATTGCACACACCAAAAATCATATTTGTGGTTAGTCGTGCTTTAAAATTATATTTCTTATTTCTCAAAAATTAATTCTCCTTTGAATCAGCTTATACCACATGTTTGTGCAACACAGGTTTTCAAATGATCAGATCAAAACCAATTGAGGCAAACAGAATCAAATCCTGCATATTTTGTGAATGGCCAAATCAAACCGGTTATCCCTTGTCTATATCAAATTTTATAGTGTTGTTCAATAGTTAAGCTATTAGTATTGAATCTAAAATACACACAATTTTTCGTTTATTTACTTGCAGTTGCAGAATATTATTAATTGCCAAATCATAAATGTGACTATCACATGATATTTACAAATAGAAAATATTTGATTCACTTACCCAGAACTAATACGATTAAGCCCGTTCCATCTATAAATAATTTCTTTACATCCCTATTATATTCTTCTAGCTTTCAAAACATATTCTTCAGTAATGCCAACTCTTTCATGTTCGGCGATGCTTGACGACATTTAAGAACGCTCACTTTCAAATTTGATTTTGAAGTCGTTTTGTGTGTTTCACCACGATTTTATATTTAGTGCAATCATATATGAACTTTTGTCAGTACTGGAACACGATTTTGAGTTAAATAAACCGACTTTTCTTGCAAAAATTATCATTTTAGTAAGTTATAGCAGCAAATTATAATATAATCTATAGTGTTTGTTTATGCTCGCGTTCCTGAGTCCCAGGCCCCCAAGCAAAATTGAGTACGACGGATTTTTTTCAAAAAATGTCAAAATTGCCATGTTTGAGGGCCTATATCTCAGAAACTATTGAACTAAATCAAAAAAGGTTGAAGAACTTGTTCTATAACTTTTTGCACTCTTTTCAAATCCGTAAAGATCCCACAAGTGATATAGGCACTTTAAAGTCACTGGGAATCAAACCCGAGTTTTCTACTCCATCAAGGCAACACCCAAGTTGAGAGATTTATGCAACCCCTTGGAAAAGCACTCAAAACAGCCAAAATAGAAGGTCGCCCATGGAAGCAAGAGCTCAATAGATTCTTGCTACAGTATAGGATGACACCACAAAGTACTACCAGTGTTCCTCCGGCTGAACTACTCTTCAATCAGACGGTACAAGGCAAGTTACCCATTCTTCACAGGAAGAACATTGTGAACCAACATAAGGAAGCTCATGAAAATGAAAACAAGCGACAGAAGTATAACAAAAGATATGCAAACGAAAGGAGGAATGCAAAGGAAAGTGGAATCAAAGAGGGAGACTATGTGTTAGTGAAACAAACCAAGGTAAATAAACTAACACCAAATTTCAATCAAACACCTTGTTGTTTTTTATCGGAACAAAACAGTAGTTAGAGCTAGAAATAAAGATGGACATGAAATAGAACGAAATGTTTCACATTTTAAAAAGATACCCAAACCCAGCAAAGATGATGAAGATACGTCAGAGGAAACCGACGATTTCAGTACAGAGAATAACAATCAGCGTACTCCAGAGGAAACAGTGCAGTTTAACATGAATGACCGTAATAACAACAATCGTGATCACGGTATGAATATGTACCCTCGACGGTCCACAAGAGTAAGAAAGCAACCCGAAAGATATGGACAAACATTACCATCTAACATTGTTACGTGACTTTTATCCCCGAGCCGACGGCGCAAAGCGCGGTGCGAGGGTACTAATTCCCCCCGGCTATTTACACCCGGGGAAACGAAAGCATTAGCCAAGTCTAAAGTTCATCAAATATTGCGGGCGTGACAAACGAACTTGAGTGGGTGGTCATCCTCACTGATTACAAAAATATGGCAGACTGTCATGGATAGCGAACACTGATTGGTCAAATTTAAAATTTGTTGTCGTATGACAAATGGCAACTTCAACTGACGTTTGCAAAAAACTCTGACAGCTTTCAAAGCAATTTGTTCTATAAAAAGTTTAACAAAACAATTACGGTATCAAATACCAATTGAAAAGAAATGAAGAGCGGCAAGGAAACGACAAGAAAGCCGAGCGTCTAGCGAAAAGGAGGGAGTGAAGACGACAATGTTTGCTCGAGGAGACTGCTGAGGAAAGAGAAGCTCGCCTGGGAAAGCGTAGAGAAGCATGGAAAAGACTGCTGAAGCGAAAGGTAAGCAAAGGCTTGTCTTCACAACGCTATGTACCAATGATACTGTAGATATACAAGTTGAAGTATGATATTTGACCCTCTATATTCGACTATTTCTTCACAATTTTCCAATAAAGAGTTTGTCATGACACGCTCAAGTCAGTATAACCAGACTGTATTTTATTTATATCAGTTATCACAGCCACAGGCAATTTTATGCTGTCAAATACCGTCGGTTGCAACTAAGGGTGAACAGTTGCAGATAAAAATTCTCTATTCTCATTAAAAAGCCTGTAAAGGTTTCCAGTAGGTCTCTAGCCCAACACGTTCACACCACACAAAGTTTTGTTACTTATTATTGTACACATGGGAAACAACAATTAAGTGTTGTTGTTCTTGACAAACATTGAAGATTCTAATCTCGCGAATGTTTTTATGAGCGACTGTTCATCGTTAGTTGCAAGCGATGGTACAACATACTATGAACATTTTTCTGACTGTGACCGAATGTGCAACGATATATTTTTCAAAGTTGTTAGCAATTCCTAAAATTTGTTTATAGTAAAACGGCCTGCTCAGCACTCACTACCAGGAAAGGAACTGGTTCTAAAATATGTAAATTTAAAAGCATTGGCTAACAGAATAAAGCGATGTCAAGACAAGGTATAAACTTTTATAGTTGCTATTTGTTATAAAATCTTATAAATAAACCGATTCAACAATAATTTTGCCTCGAATTTGAATATTCTATGCTGCATGTTTATATTTTATTTTTATAGTATAAAAATAAAATTGTAATAGTATGAAATAAAATACATTTCTGTTTATTGACCAGTATGGTGGCCCATCGCTGCCACTCAAATTTTACTCATATCTTTTTTTCTGAATTAATAAAAAGTGTTTTAAATTAAAATTAAAATACATTTACAATAAAAAATAATGTAAAAAATAATAATTATCATTTTCATTTACAAACGTAAATGAAAATTGAATAAGAAATAAAGTTAAAAGCAAAATAAAACACAAATCAAAGTAAAATTAAATTCTCCAAAGCCTATCGCTGCCACAGTACACCATGATGCTTTGCGCGCGTCAGTGTTTCCACGTCAGTGTTTCCATGGGATTGTCATTACCAAAAAGAAATACCGTCAATATATGGAAGCACTTGTACAAGATGGCGGCTCTCTGTGATGCTTCTTGGAAAGACGATGAGGAATTAAAAGAGAAACTAGTTCAGTATGTTCGAGAGGGATTAAAAAGAGAAGAGATATTAAGCTTTGTTAAGGAAAATTTTGGGCAGTATCCATGGAGCGTACGATCTCTTGATCGTCGCCTTAGACATTTTGATATTTTTTATTCGGATAGAGAAGTAACTGTGGAGGAAGTGAGAGAAGCTGTTTCGACGGAATTAGACGGTCCAAGCAAGCTGATAGGGTATAGACCAATGCAGAAGAAGATTCGAATAAATCACGGATCGAATGTGCCTCGCGATTTGGTTTATGTGATGATGAAAGATCTCGATGCGGACGGTGTTGAAGCTAGAGCCCCAGCAGCCAAGAAGAAAAAAAGAACAGGACATTTCACAACCAAAGGCTCTAACTGGCTTCACTCCCTTGATGGGCACGACAAGCTAATGGGGTACCAGAACAGCACCTACCCTATCGCTATATATGGCTCGATTGATTCTGCCAGCCGAAAAATATTATGGCTTCGAGTTTGGGTAACAAATAGTGACCCTGATGTGATTGGTCGGTTTTACCTTGAGCATTTGTATGAAACTCGACTGATATCCACTTTTTTACGACTTGACAAAGGGACTGAAACCACCGTACTATGCACTATGCATGCTTTCTTAAGAAGACACCACGGTGATATGGAACCGACTGATACCATACTATATGGCCCTTCAACTTCCAATCAGGTAAAACCACAGTACTTATAAATTTAAAATAAATGATAAATTTATATGAAATTGGCCAAAATATAGTTGTCTCCCAAGATAAAAGAAATTGGTTCAGAATACCTGGGATACTAGGCGGTGACCATAGGAACAGATGGAAACACTCCCCCCCCACCCCCGCTCCCACAATGTTAACCAGAGTTGGAATATAAAGTTTGAATTGAAGTATATATTATATTATATATAATATCTATTATCTAATCATGCAGATAGAAAGATGGTGGCGAGAGATTCATGAAAGGATGGAGATGTACTTTAAAGAACAACTAAGTTTTTTGAAGGACCGTCTTTATTATGACCCACATGATGAAAACGATCGGTAGGTATATATACACTAGTTTTGCTTGCTGATCAAGTCATGCCTTCAATGTACATTCATTTTGTAAATATTTATGGCCCAACAGAAGGCTTATTATTGCAAGGCCATATGTTCATTCTCAAACTTGATAGTACAGTATATCCTGATTAAATGTATTATGCACCAACCAGCAATGTTCACTGAGTTTTTAATAAGAGACCAAGCAGACATAACTGTATTTGGGTACCGTACAAATTATGCAACAGTTTGCCATACTTTTCCCTCAGTTTTAATTGTTCTGTTTTAGATCATTGATGGCATTCATAATGATACCAGTTATTCAGAGAGAGTTGGACGAATTTCGAAATACTGTTTGGAATCCACACAGAATAAGAAAGCAGGACACAAACCTTCCAGATGGAGTTCCCAACCACATGCTTGCATTTCCACAAGAATATGGTCTTCAGAAATGCGGTAAGCATTTTACAAAATTAATATACTGCACCTATCGAACAGCACATTTGGATGTTATGCCATACTGAACATATATATGTTGATCATTTTTATAAGTGGTAATTGCACATTTTGTACCATGTGTGCATTTAAATCAGTATCCAAATTCAAACCTTTAAAACCTTTGCACTTTGTATTTTTAGGTTGGCCAATCACTGAGGAACAGCTTCAAGAAGCAGCAACAGCATCAGGTGTTTTGAATGTGCCAAATGAGCGATTTATTCCACACCCTGAAAAGATTGAATCTTCGGAATGCAAAGACGCATTTATTTTTTTAAAAGAAAGAGTCAATGTTTAAAGTTAAATATACTTTGCAATATTTACATATATTTTATGTAAATCACACATATATATATATATATATATATATATATATATATATATATATATATATATATATATATATATATATATATATATATATATATATATATATATATTAGGCTCATCCATAGTTATCAACATTTTCAAAAGTATAGAAAGCTCACTTCAGGAGGAAGGGGTCAATTTTAACGACAATGCATGTCTTGAGAAGAGAATATAAAATAATGATGAATGCATATCCACTGTGTAGGTGTATATCTCTGTGCATGCAACCACTGTATTTATATCAAATTTCAATTGGGGGGGTCAGAAAAAAGCATACACTCTGGGGTGGCAGTTTAACCCAGGAATAGAGGGATGTCTGGCCACATTTGATAGCTTTAATAAAACATTACTGTTATCTACCAAAACCTAATCGTCAAGGCAAACCTCCCTCTATGCCCAATTGTTTTCCTGCACTTTGTAGGCTTTTAAAAATGCTGATAATGAAGGATGACCCCAACTTCAAAAATAGATTATTTTTCTCTTGTAATAAGCAACAAACAGTGTGACTTTCTGTTTGAATGCGAATGAATATATTTCTAATTTGAACTATCATGAAAAAATTATTGTAGACCTAGGCACATAACGATTGAAAACAAAAGCTTTTAGTAAAACTATATGTTCTTTACAAATCCAAGTGAAATGAAGATATAAACTTTAAATGTGTAACATCAAACTAGAAAGTAAACTAACTAAAGTAATAGTTGCAAGTGTGCATAATTATGTCACATTAACATTTGCACAAAAACACCATAACATAACAGTCTTACTGTGCATAACATACAGTAACACAGGGATGGATTTACTATTGGGTGCGAGTGCACATTTGGTGATCTGTTTAAGTGTTGGGGAATTAATATTATGTAAGGATATTAGCACCCAAATAAATATTTTGCTGAGACTCTCATCATAGATATCTTATAGTTCATCTAATTATTCTGCAATTAAAAAATTGAAGCTGTGATTCAAGTCATTCCCATGAAATGAGAAGATTCATATGTTTTCTATTTCTTAAACAGGGAACTTAAATATTAAATTGAACCTATTCCAAATACATTTTTAGACTATTCAAATGATGAAAGTTATTGTTGTTTTTTAAGCATTTATTAGCTAGTGGGAACTACCAACATGGCCACCATCTATTCAAATGGGAGTAACCACTGGAATATTCTTGGCTTCAATTTTACTAAAAGAGATGTGCTATCTAGTGTACAGTCAATATAAGATATCTATGACTCTGACCAACTAAACACCATATATTGTCTCATTTTTAACAATTTCTGAACAAACATAATCCTAATATCCATATAACTGGTGTTTGCACCCAATGCCCTGCTTGAACCCCCTTCCCCGCCTAAAAATTGTGTTGGATCCATCCCTGGCATAACATAACATAACATAGCCATGTTAGTCATAACATAACAGGCATAACATAACATAACAGGCATAACATAACATAACAGTCATAACATTCATAACAGTCTTACTGTGCACTAGCTGTCCACTTTATGATTGTGGTTTATTCAGGAGTATTTTCAAATTCTGTTAAACCAACAAGTTCACAATAAATGCTGCAATTATGCTCTCTCGCAAATGTGGTTATTGCACTGAATGTCATGTTTCCTGTTGAAAAGAGGTACTCGTCATCCTCCTGCAATTCATATGAGGCAATTTCCGGGTCGAATAACTTATGGCTGCTGCCCTGGATATCAACCACCATCAGCTTCTCATGGGATCTCACATAGGAATAATGAGACAAGCTCTCAGCTTTCATGCGGATGTAGGTTGAAGTGCCACAAAGAGTTCCATCATTATTGATGTACTTGTCAAAGCTTCCTTTAACAAACTCTTCAACAGTAACAAATTCACCATCATCCATCTTTCCCAGGTAAATATTGCTGTAAGACATAAACTCACCATACACCTCTTCATTATTTCGCTTGCACACCTCTTGCTGGAGCTGCTTGGCAAAGTTTCGTGCAAGTAGGTGCATTTGCACCACCTTCCTTGTGTGCTGCTCGGGAGTCTGATTTGTCGCCTTAATATTCTCCAACGCATTTGCTAAATACTTCTTGACTACCCAAGTGGAAGTGTTGAAGTCATCTCGACGACTTGTTGCAGAGAATGCTTTACGAAAGCCCCCGACACCGATTACCACTGGGTTTATAACAAACTCAAGACAACAAAATTCAGGAGACCACTCCATCTGATTTATATCAAAACTTGACAGTTCAATAATGGTGGATGGTTTTTCTTTTATCACTTTGCCCAGTTTCAACATATGCACCACAGACAAACTTTTTGGGAAAGTGCAACTTGACTTAACAGAGGTTGATCGTGCAGATTGTTGTGGTTGGAGGGAAATTGGATGGGTACGTCTTCTATTTATATTTGGCCTTGTAGATTTTTCTTTCGAGTGGACTTCCAACTGTGGTGACTGTGTCTGCGAATCTACTTCAGCTTTCTCAATAATCCTCAAATGGATTACTTTGAGATTGGGGATTTGCTCTAGCGATTGACATGATGGCCCTTGCTCCCTTGCCAGTATATCGCAGCATGTATTATTCTTCAATTTGGACTTGAAGAATCTCTCGCAAGCTGCCTTGATATTGTCAAAGGTGACCTCGTCGTAGTGGAAGGGCACAAATACCCTCGGTCCCATCCTCGAATACTTTTGTGCTTTACCACAAACTTCAGATGAAAGTTGTTGCACCACAATTTCATCTTTAATCCAGTCGAACTTTTTTGTATTACTTGTCTTTTTGCTATTCTTTTTTTCTTTCATTGCAGTCTTGAATTCTTTCCATGCGGCGGCCATCTTGAATACAAATGACGGATAGCACGTGGAACACTGACGCGCGCAAAGCATCATGGTGTACTGTGGCAGCGATAGGCTTTGGAGAAATTTAATTTTACTTTGATTTGTATTTTATTTTGCTTTTAACTTTATTTCTTATTCAATTTTCATTTACGTTTGTAAATGAAAATGATAATTATTATTTTTTACTTTATTTTTTTATTGTAAATGTATTTTAATTTTAATTTAATTAAAACACTTTTTATTAATTCAGAAAAAAAGATATGAGTAACATTTGAGTGGCAGCGATGGGCCACCACATACCTCCGAAAAACATTGATTCGAATGTTTTCAAAGCTTTACTTGCTCTTAAAAAAGATCCAGACAGGGTTATTCTTTCAGCGGACGAAGGAAATTGTGTTGTTGTTATGGACAAACATGAATATCGCGAGAAGGCTCTTTCACTGTTGAATGACAGAAATACGTATTCAATTCACAAGTCTGATCCTACTGGAAAGACTCAAAAAGTTTTAAATGCCAAGTTACTTCTCTTGAGGAAATCCAATATTATCAGCAAGGCTACATATGAAAAGTTATACAGCAGTGATGGACTATCTCCGCGTTTCTATGGTTTACCGAAAATTCATAAACCGGAAATTCCATTGAGACCTACTTGTGTGCCTTGTGAATACTCCTACATATGGAGTGGTGGAAAAACATTGTCAAAAATTCCTGTCATTTTGCAGAATTTGTAAGAGGTAAAACTCTTAAAGCAGATCAAGTGTTGGAAGGCCTATCATTTGATGTCGTTTCCTTATGGTATATATATAATATAGCATATATAATATATATATATATATATATATATATATATATATATATATATATATATATATATATATATATATATATATATATATACAGTATATATATTTCTCACACATCATTAGATATTCGTAGCATTTCGGCCAATGACATGGTGTAATTTACATCACGTGTATCTATATGGATACCCCGTCTAGACCAGGACTTTAATTACTTCAAGTGGGAAGGGCTTTGAACAATAGGGAAATTGAGGGGTAAACAAAAGATTATGCAAATATATTTAATTGCTATGTTTAGAATTATTTCTAAATACAGTAAGCTGTATTTAGAAATAACTTCTAAATACACAAAAACATTAAAACACACTTCAAACAACAAATTAAATATGTTGCTTTTTTAATCACACTAACAATAACACACATACAATTGACTTAGTATTACTTATTTCCGGCAAACGGAATGTTAAAGGAACAGTTAGTGAATGTACTGTTCGACAAAACAAACTTTTCTGCGATAGTACGTCGCTGCACCTCTTTATCAATTTTAGACCAGTCCACTTCACTCAAAAACTTATCAAGTTCCTCGTCGGAAATTTGAAACTTTTCATCTTCCTTAGGCTTCGAGGGTGGATATAGAAATAAATTGTGTAAACCAAACTTTGAGCAGTTTTGTCTCCCAGTAAGCCTTTTGACCACAGCAAACCTTCTTCATCATCTGTAATAGCTTCTTTCTCTCGTCTTGTACGATTCTCCGCAAGCGATTCGCGTTCCCGGTGGGTGGCTTTCATTTCACTATCCAGCACTCTTCTGAACGTCTGGAAACTGAGTAATAAACATGCTCATATTACAATAAATTAAACTAAACCATTAATTAAAAATGAACAAATTCAACCTACCAGTGATTGTTAGCATTTAACATGTTAGCTTCAGCCCGGCCATTTTTGTCTAGATGTCGTTTCAACGAGCATATAATTTGGTATACTGTACGCCCGGGATATGGCTTGCCATCCTTGTCGCAAACTTCTTGAACAAATTTGATAAGCCAGAAGTTTAACGTTCTTGCCGTCATTGAACACAATTCTGTCTCCAAATTTTGCAAATTCTGCAAATCTAAGCTGAAAGGATTGCTCTCACACATGACTACTTTATTTTCTCGCCCACTTTGCGAATCTTCAAATATACGAACTCCCCAACGATTTTTATAACGCGTTGTTTGTGGAATAGCATTTCGCACGTTGTCAATGCTTCTTTCCACGCTTTGAGGATCTCGAAATCTCCTCTTTTTGCAACTAGATGCCATGCTTCCTTCGAAGGCGAACAAATACTACAACAACAACGTCTTTAATTCCTTCCTTCGTTACGCATTCGCCTCATTGAACAACTTAATTCGCTATTGTTACTGCCTCATTGCTATGAATATCTAATGATGTGTGAGAAGCAATTTCAAATCCTCGTTAGTGTTTTAAACTTGGCTTCCAAATCCCCAGTGCCATGAACAATGGCTCGGCTGCGCCTCGCCATTGTTCATGGCACCTGTATTTAGAAACCACGTCTAAAACACTAACTCGGATTTGAAATATTA